CAACTCCTCTCTGACTGTATGGTCTGTGGGAAGTCCAGAAAAAATGCCCGCTAATAGAGAACTTTCCAACTCAACCCTCTAACTCAGGTCTGTGGTCCAAAAAATAACATATCCAGGTAGCCAGAGGCTTTGCACATCAGAAGATGTTCCATGAACCTAGAGGAATGGGAAACCTCGAGAGTGGGAAAAGCTGCCAAACAATCTCTGAAGACAGATGAATAACGTTGTGATTTTCAACAAAGGGAAGACGACAGAATCCATGACCTAAGGAAAAAATGAAGAGTGGTTTGTAAGTTCATAAAAATTGGAAACAGTGATCACTTAAGGCAAATGTGGACTCATGAAGCATGGATCCAGTCAAACCAAAGCCCTTTCCTTTTTTGATCCAGTTAGACAGCAGGGCATGATGCTAAACTCATGAATAATATGAAGCTGGGAGGAGCAGGTGACTCCATGAAAGAGTCGGGATGGTCCTGGTCTGGACACCTGATATTCAGTACTGGGATTAAAAATTAACAGATACTTTGATGATAGGAGTAGCTCTTATTTTTTTCAGTACTTATTGCCTGCTGGGCACTGTGTTTTAACTCACAGCATCTCTTTTCATTTTCACAGCAACCCTCTGAGGCAGGTACCATGATATCCTGATTTTACAGAAGAGGAAACATGGGCTGAGAGAAGATTACTCGCCAAAGATCACAGTTCTTTACAAGGGAGGTGGCTTGAGAGTTTGGGATAAACAACTGTATTCCTAAGGAGAACAAGCAGAATGCTGCGGGGAACGTGAAAGCCTGCCATAGAAATAAAAGATTGCTGATTTATCTGAGACATGAAAAGGCTCAGTGAAAATATGACTGAAATCTTCACATGGTAAAAGTCTGCTGGAACATAGATAGGCTCCTTATTTTGGCCCCAGACGGTAGAATTAAGAACATGGGTAGAAAGTGGAATTTGACTACTGAGACAGTAATTCAATGATTAGCACCATCTGCAATCAAAAGGTAAAGTCTAAGGAGATCTTAGCATTGAAGGAGTCCAAGCAGAAACTACGCAACCCTTTCTGCCTGGGAATAGTCAAGAGATTTAAACCAAGGATGATGATTAAACTGGGAGCCCATCAGATTTCCTCCAAACTCAGATTCCATGAGGATGCAAATTTGTGAAAAGAATTATTCGGATATACTCTGGGCCAGGTGTGGTAGCTCACGCCCATAATCCTAGTACTTTGGGAGGCCAAGGCAGGCAGATCACCTGAGGTCAGGAATTCAAAACCAGCCTGGCCAACATGGTGAAACCTCATCTCTACTAAAAATACAAAAAAAAAAAAAATAGCCAGGAATGGTATTGCATGCCTGTAATCCCAGCTACTTGGGAGGCTGAGACAGGGAAATCACTTGAACCCAGGAGGTGGAGGTTGCAGGGAGCTGAGATTGCACCACTGCATTTCATAGCCTAGGTAACAAGAGTGAAACTCCATTTCAAAAAAAAATTAAAAAAATACATACTCTGAAGTCTTGAAGGTGGATATATACATGTTTATCATATTTGGCATATGATGTCCTTTCTGCCCTTTCCCGAGTAGCATTTCTTAAGTACATTGATAAATGCTGTAAAAATTTAGAGTGAGTGCTCAGTGCTCTGCTGGAATCACTGAACAATTAGGGGTCATCTTTAGGTTTAACATGGAAAACACAAAACAGTTGAATATGTTTGTTTTCTTTCACTCTGCACCATCACCCTGAAACAACAGCGATTTGTACTATTGCTTGGGCAAGGCCTTGTGGAGGCAGCTAATGAGGCTGCCAGGACCTGGTGGCTGAAACTCTCCAGATGGGTTCACTGGAGTGTTTGAAACCATGCAATGCTGACCATATGATATACGAGTTCTCGGCATACTCTTTTATTTTTCAACCAATATTAAGCACTATTAGCCAAACAGAAATACCAGAGGCAACAATTTGGCTGGATTTGATGTCTCTATGCAACATTTATCTCCCTTCTGGAAGTCGGTTGTGTTATGCTTATACCAGCTTATTTAATTTTGTTTTCCTTTATGATGTTAACCCACTGCTTGGGCTTTTACAAGTCAGAATAGAGAAAAACCTCATACATGACTTATGCCTAATTTTTTATGAGAAACACAGCTGGTCCTATCACTCCTCCCAGCATATCTGGAAATGATTTTGAGATACAAATACACACTGGGTACCAGAGGGTCAGGACATGAACATGAGCTTCAAGGACCGGGCCTCTGAGTCTCTAAAAAAATTTTAAAAAACAATCCATTTCCTCGCACACCATATTACATGTAGTACAAACATCTTTTGAGAAATCTTAGAGTATAAGTGAACAGTTCCTGGGAAGAAGTGGAATCGAGATAAATTTTAAATCATAACGCTGCTTATGAAACCTAACCATCCTGTCACCAGCAGGGAGAACTTGGGCCCTAAACTCAATTATTCTTCACTTCAGGTTTTGTTTTTGATTTGTTTCTTCAGTAAAATGGAGATCATACTAGTACCTGTCCTATCAGACTGTACTGAGAACTGAGTGAGATGTTGTCTATAACCCATGACAAGTATTTAGGAAATGCTCAATACTGTGTAGTTAGTTGTCAATTTTAATATCATTTTCACTGTTTTCCTTTAGGAAGCTGGAATATAATATTTGCTCTAGTCCTAAAGATTTTAAACCTAGAGAGGTAGAGGTTGTAACCACTTGATTTACAGATGCACCCTGCACCCTGTGGCTACCTGTAAACCACATATCCTACCTTCTCACAAGGCACCTCACTCTGCAAGCCAGGTGTCTTAGATCAAGATGCTATAACAAATATCCCACGAACTATGTGGCTGAAACAACACACATGTATTTCTCATCATTCTATAGGCAGGGAAGTCCACAATCAAGGCCCTGGCAGGTCTGTGTTTTATGAGGGCCACCTTCCTGGCTTATAGACAGCCCCTGCTCCCTGCATCCTCAAATAGCCAAGAGCAGAGAGAAGAAAAAGCAAATCCTCTCCTTCCTCTTCTTTTAAGGACACTAATGTCAGCATGAAGACTCTACCCTCATGACCTAATTACATCCCAAAGGCCCTGCCTCCTAATACCAGCACATGGGATTAGGATTTCAACATATGAATTTAGGGGATGGGAGAACACATACAGTCCATACAGCAGGGCTCCCTAGTGTCAAGCATATGTGTAACTTCTTTTCCCAACTCTTGTCCATTACCTTAGGAAAATCCTCTTTCCCTTTATTTACAATGCCTACACAGTAGAAAATGTGTATCAGCAAACCTTTGTAAATATTTCAAATATTTCTCCCTTGTACAAAAACAAAAAAAAATCTTCAAACACGTATTATTTCTTTATTTTGGACAAAGGCCTAAAGGTGATGTTCATGGTCAAAGATAAGAATACATACTGAAATATTTTACATCAAGTCACACTCCAGCCCATGTCACCCTGCCTCTAATAACGCTAGGTCTCATACTAAAAATCACTGACAAACTGTCACAGACAGTAAACATTTAGATTGTCCGTACGTAATTTTATTCAGATAGTAGATTCAGCCAACCCTGGAGATGAGCAGGATCTGAGTTGCAGAGGCAGCCTCACCTCAGGCTGAAGAATTTCCAGCATGTGGCTGTCACTGAGGAGCTATCTGTGAAGCTGTCCTTTTCCTTTTCTTCAACCATTGTCCTCTTTAGGGGCCAGAATGTGCTCTTTCCCTGATGTGACAACCATGCTGAATTGAACAAAGGGTCTTGCTGGCAGGGGTCTTGTGATTCCCATCTCCATTGCTGAAACACTTGGTTTCCCCTTCACTTTCTTGCTTTTTCCTCTCCAAAGGATGAATGAATGTGAGGTTACACTGAGGTACTTCTACTTCCTAGTTCCAGGGCCACCACCCTAACAGAATTAGCAGGCCATCATTTCCTTTCTTCTAACCCAGCTGCCCACAACCCTGGCAGACCACAACATGTTAGAGTCACCTGGGGAACTTTGTAAAAACTACTGAGGCCTGCCATTACTCTTCCCTCCAAAAAAAGACACTGATTGGTCTACAGTGGGGCCTGGGCATGGGTATATTACTTTTATATCTCCCCCATGTGATTGAAAACGCATGCTGGATTGAGAACTAGAGATAGTAACATCCCTACTGCACTACATCGACAAGAATTTCGCTGTCACCCTCCCCTGCCCCCCGAGTCTGTAAAAATGGTGTGCACAATCCTGTCACTGGTTTTCAATGCTGATGCAGGTCTCCATATCCACTTGCCTGCACCACCAACAACCTTTTAGATATTGTTTGTTCTTTCAATGGATATCTATTCCTTCCTTCCACACAATACCCAATTACCTTCTCAAAAGGTTCACTGGCACACCTAACAAGCATGGAGAACACCAGATGCTTAAAACATCTTTTATCCCATCCCCCAGTTACCCCCAACCCAATCCAACTCATCTCCCAGCCCTCCAAATCTCAGTGAATAATGCTATCATCTCTCCTCTTATTCAGGACAGGAACCTAGGAGGGAGTCCTGACATTCATTCCTGTTTTTCCTTAAATCTAAGTCCTCTTTCCCATGCTCTGGGGCATTTTAAATAGTGCGTCCTTCCTACCATGGCTCCACTCTCTAGTCTAAGCTGCCAGGATCTCACAGTGGCCTTCTCACCTATCTTCCTATCTTCAGGTATAGCTTTCAAGAGCACAGTTCCACACAGCATCCAGAGTGGCCTTTAAAAAACATGCAGCATATCAGTATCTTCCCCTACCTAGGTCCCTGTGGTTTCCAATTACAACAAAAATCAAGTCCAAGTTCCTGATGTGCCTGATCTTATTTACCTGTCTCACTTCACTTCCTACCACTCCTTGGCATGTTTATTATGCTTAGGCATGCTGACCATTTTTCCATCCCTTGAGGGCCCTGAACTTCCATTTTCTCTTTCTGATATCCTTCTGTTTCAGGTATTGCCATTTCTGGCTTCTTTTCATTTGAGACTCAGTTCAACTACCATGACGTCAGCTGTGGCCTCCCAGAACACCTATATAAATTCCTACTTCCTATCCTGACCCTGTTCAGCATGTCTCAACATTGGAAGTCATCTTACTTGTTTACTGGTTCTTATGTAACTTCTCCATGGGAATGTAAGTTCCAGGGGAGTCAGGCTTCAGTAAATCTTCATCATTATTGCAGCTCTGGAGCTGAGTGCCTAAAACAGCATCTGGCAAATAGCAGGTGTTTAATAAATAGTTGAAGAATGAAAGATCTTAAGACAGTCTGTGTGGAAGAGGAATTAGGCATGCTTATTCATATCACTAACTTATCTGAATACATTCATTCCCCCTTAAGCCATAATAAACTTTTTTTTATCACAAAATGTTTCAATAAAAACAACAAAAAATAAAGCCCTAAATTCTTATCCTCTGGAGATTAAATCTACTATTACACTTTGTTTTTTTTTTAATATTTATATGGAAAAGAGGAAAATAGATTAAAAAGTCAATTAGATGAATTTTAGCTTTCTCCAAAAACAGAAATCATCTTACACCATCTCAGCATATGAAATCTTACTTAATAGTTTGCAGAATCTATCAAGATACACTTTGGGGAAAATGCTTCAGAAAAAGTATTCTTTACTAAGCACTGAGCACCTGTTCTTAAAAACAATCAGCCTGAAGAGAAATGACATGAGATAGGATGGCGAGAAAATGAGAGAGAGGGTTCTTCACTCCAGAATTTCCTCTCCTGCTTGTGTTCAGTGTGTCAGAAATTGAGATATCAGAGATTGACATACAACTCAGTTTCAAACTGAGCATTCCATGCTTCCAGAGCAATCATATCGAAAGGGCATGCTGGTTAAGTTGGCTTTTCTCAAAGGCTGAGAAATTCATGTCCAGATGCCTAGAAATGGATATCTTTCTAGTAAACAACATTGTGGGATTTAAATTTTCACAGCATCATCCTCCTCCTCTCTAACAGTACTTACTGGCTTGATTTTCCCCCCAAACACCAGTTCCTATATATAATATTTAACATTTAAGTTAAAATTTAGCTCCCAAATTTAAATCCTGCAATTAGCTCATAAAATAAATCACATTTAGCCTCTAGTAGTGATTTTAATGTGCCCCATTTCCCACATATCCAAACACTCCTCAGCTTCCAATGTGTCAGTTATTAATCTGTGCAGCACCTTGGTTTACAAGATGGTTTGGTATATACAGATTTTGAAGCAGCCTAATCTAAGGGGCAGCCATTGCCTCACTTTTTGCAAATGAGGACATTGGGGCTCATGGAGGCTCACTCCACCAAGTTCAGGTATCTTAGAAGAAGCAGAACTCACATTCAAGCTTATCTTCCTGACTTAACATCCATTGCTCTTCCTATAATACACACATTCCCACACATGTACACGCACAGGTGGACACACAGAGACAGACCATAGTCACATCGTTAAGAGTGTAACTGTGATCCAAAGAAAAACTATTACAGGCATTCTGATTCTAACTGCTGATTTCAACCTAATTAAGATGGTAAGAGCATCGGATAGTAAGAAACAAAACAAGATAACATCCACATTAAATGAAATCCAGAAGTCTACTGAATTAAATTGGTAGGGGTTCCCTTTGGGTAGGGGGCTTAAAACTGCTGAGAGTATTGGGATCAATAATCTGAGAGTGCAGGTCTATCAGTTTTGGGGCTGTTATTAGAATTTATCTATCTATGATATAACCTTTTGAAGATTTTTAAATAGCAAAAAAAGGCAAATATTAAGGCAGCAACCCTTTATCTTAAACGGTAATGCTGAAAGGATAGGTTTATCAATGATCAGCAAAGCCTTAAAGGGGTTAGATTTTTTTAACCCAAATCAAATTAATCAATTTCTGGTTTAAGTGTTAGTGATATGCCACAGAAAGGCATGTCAGCCCATCCAACCCATGCAGATAATTGCAGTGCTGAGTCTCCCTGCGGGTCATGGAGAAGACTGTGATCCCAAGGGAAGTCGATACCAAAAATCAGGGAGCTATAGGATACTAGTATGGCCCGCTCTCACTCAGGTGGCTCTATTTTTATAATGTGACATTTGAAAAGCCAGTGTCACTTGGTGCTTTGATGTTCACCCACCTCTCCACCAACCCTGGCACGCACTAGGTTTCCATGGTACTTATTACCGGGAACAGCAGTAGACTTGTGGTTGTTGAAGGCAGCAGCTGTCTCAAGGCCCAGGTGCAGAGAAGCTTAGGCCGTGCTTCCCTGGAAACAGAGTCTCTTTTCCAGCTCCTCCCACACCATGGAGCAGAGCAGTGGAAACAAGGCCAGAACACTGAGGATGTGGGGCCGCAGGGGGAGGACAGTCTCCAGGCACTGTCTACATACACTCAGAGAGAGGTACAATTCAAGCCCTCCAGACTATTTTAAATTATTTTGTTTGATTGACATGTGTGTTTCTGCTATTATGAACTGAATTGTGTCCCCCCCACCATTCATATGTTGACACCCTAAACTCCAGTGTCTCAAAAGGTGACTGTATTTGGTGGTGATTACTTTAAAATTAAGCTCTTAGGATGGGTCCATACGAGGACACCATGATAAGGTGGCTGGCCATCTGAAAGCCTAGGAGAAAGGCCTGAGAAGAAACCAATTCTGCTGCAGACACTTTGATCTTAGACTTCCAGTCTCCCGAAATGTTAGAAAATACATTTCTTTCTTTTTTTTTTCTTTTTTTTTTCTTTTTTTTTCCCAAGACAGAGTCCAGGCTGGAGTGCAGTGCTGTGATCTTGGCTCACTAAAACCTCTTCCTCCTGGGTTCAACAGATTCTCCTGCCTCAGTCTCATGAGTAGCTGTGACTACAAGCATGAACCACCATGCCCAGCTAATTTTTGTATTTTTAGTGGAGATGGGGTTTCGCCCTGTTGGTCAGGTTGGTTTTAGACTCCTGACCTCAAGTGATCTGCCCACCTTGGCCTCCCAAAGTGCTGGGATTACAGGCCTGAGCCACCTCACCCAGCCAGGAATAAATTTCCATGCATAGGCCTTGCAGCCTGTGGCATTTTGTTACAGCAGCCTTAGCTGACTGATACAGATGACTTCACACATTACCTGCTGACTCCATGTGACCCACTCTATCTACAACGCTGTTCCTGAGTTTCAGGAAAAAAAAAATCTTTGTTACTAAATTATACTGGGCAGTTTTAGAACTTCAGGAAGCCTCAGTTCTGCCTGACCATATATAACCCTGCCTGTGGTGAGGCCTTGGATGACACAGAGAAGCATCTGGCATACAGTCCGTGAAGAGAGGACAGGCTCACTAGCCTCTGCCATGAACTCTGCCTTCCACTGTAGTAGCTAGGTAATGATATTTACTATCATTTCTAATTAGATAAATGCAATATAAAAACCAAGAAGATACTCTTTTAAAACTATATGGCTGGCAAAGCTTTTGTTAATTTGTTTTGTGGTTAATGAAATGCAACACCTGGGACAATCAGGGAATTTACCACAGGATGGGAATTTTCACACTCATCAGCAAATATATGAACTGCTCAGTCACCCTGGATAGGAATTTAGGAATTTCAGATTTTAAAAAGTAAGCTTTTTTGCTTATGTATTGGCAAAAAAAAAAAAAAAAGTCCATTCTATACTGTGGATATTCAGGGCATAATTTTATATAATAATGACCAAGTCAAAGCAAAATAAATTCTCAACAAGAGATAAACTCTTTATGTTTTAATATATAAATATACATCATCACGGAACCATCAAAGATAGGGTTATAGGTGTTTTGACAGAGAAATATTTTAACACGAAGGGCAAAAACCTAGCTAAAATTGTATTAGAGTATAACTTCATTTTGCAAATAAAATGCATATTCCTAACGCAAAAAATTGGACTGATATTGAACAAAAAGATAAGAGTAATTAGCTCTGGGTGGTAGAACTACAGTTGACTTTTACTTTCCTCTTATTACTTGTATTTCCTAATTTCCTACAGAGAAAATGCTCTGTTTAATAATAAGAAAAGCAAGTGGAAAAAAAAGATAAAGTAGCCACTTTTAGTTTGAAATAAATGTCACTGACTCTGTTACAGCTCAGAGCTATGTTTTTTTTTTTTTTCATTTTTAATTTTTGTGGCTACAGAGTAGTACATATATTTATGGATTACATGAGATAATTTGATACAGGCATGGAATGAGTCATAATCACAGCAGGGTAAACGGGGTATCCATCACCTCAAGCATTTATCCTTTGTTACCAACAATCCAGTTACATTCTTTTAGTTATTTTTAAATGTACGATTAAATTACTTTTTTTTTTTTTTTGAGACAGAGTCTCACTCGGTCGCCAGGCACCAGGCTGGAGTGCAGTCGCGCGATCTCGGCTCACTGCAACTTCCGCCTCCCGGGTTCAAGCAATTCTCCCGCCTCAGCCTCCCGGGTAGCTGAGACTACAGGCACACGCCACCAAACCCAGCTAATTTTTTTGTATTTTTAGTAGAGACGGGGTTTCACCATGTTGGCCAGAACGGTCTCAATCTCTTGACCTGATCTGCCCGCCTCGGCCTCCCAAAGTGCTGGGATTACAGGCGTCAGCCACCGCGCCCGGCCATATTTTTGACTACAGTCACCCCATTATGCTAGCAAATACCAGCTCTTTCTCATTCTTTCTATTTTTGTGTACCCATTAACAATCACAACCTCTCCCCTAACCCCTTACCACACTTCCCAGTCTCTGGTACCCATCCTTATACTCCCTGTATCTCCATTTACAGCTATGTTATAATGTGAAAAATGGAACCACATTCTAATATCAAAATCCCCTTGCTGACCAACGTAACAGGAAATATTGCCTTTCATTGAGGCATATTTATAATGTGTCCTAGATATGCCATTTTTCAGTCCTCTGTTCTTCTTGTAATACCCTTTGTAAAATTCAGCAAGTAAGAGTTCCATTGACTTAACAGGGTGAGATCCTAGATATAGAACTGGACGAATTTATTTGCACTTCCAAATAAAATATTTTGTGTGTGTCAGCAATTTCTCTGGGGCTCCTCATACCCCTATATTTGAAATCTGTACATACATACATATGCATGCATATATATATATATATACACACACATACATATATACACACGTATATGTATATTTTTACATAAAGTGTGTATATAATACACATAGAAACAGACACACACACTTTGCATTAACAGACCTATAGCTGGCTACCAAGCTCTACATATCCCAGAAGAAAGGGACAGAATTCTTTTTCAAAGTTGTAAACAAGCAAAGTTCACCTGACTTTAGGACTTAACCAAGTCCCACCTACGTATCACACTGAAACATGGATATTATTAAATGCCAAACTGCCAAATGTCCCAAAGGAAACATACCAACCAAAAACAAAACCTTCATCTCTATGTGTTTATATGTGTGTAGACAGAACAAGACAAAGGAAGGGAGGTAGGGAAGGAGAAAGCCAGGGAAACCAGTAATTCAAAAAATTCTACTAAGATTCTAACCTCAAATTTAAAACCGTGGCGTCCCAAGATCTTTGCCACATCTTGTCAAACAGCCTCATTTAAAAATGAGCCTGAAATTCTAGAGATCAAGCAGTTTACCCTGAGGTCTCAAACAACTGAGGAGAGATGTGCTTGCATTCCCAAACCAGATAGGGTCATCCCACTGTGTCTTAAGTATTTTTCTCCCTTTCAAACCCACTGTCCCGATTGTCTTATGTCCAACTTTCCATCAAAGCAAAGAAGAAAACAAATGGCATAAATACCAAGACTGTACAAAGGAATGATAAACTTCTTTAAGACAAGACCCTCCCGCCTCTCCAAGATCTCCATAGAAATCACTTCCCTCATCTTCCTTGTGTTCACTGGGGTCTTCTGTTCGCAGTTTGCAACATGGCTGAGCATCTACGTAGAAGTGGTAGGAAGACTAAGCATATGGAGATGAGGTAATAAGCCTGGATAATGTACAAACTCGTGAGTCCGTGCTCAGATACCTTAAAGTGGGCCATATTGCCAGCAGCACATTGCTCTCCATGCCAAACCTTACAGAGGATACATGGTCAGGGATAGAGCCATATCGTCCATTCATCAAACGGGCCTTTGGGAATAACCTTCCTTCTTTCAATCACTCTCTCCCATGGCACATGACAACAAACCTTTTTCATCAAAAGCAAAAATATTTTCAAATGTTCAAAGGGCTCAACTTTCCTGGCATGAAAGCATCTCTATTTTGGAAACGTCAAGAGGTTCACCTCATTGCATGTAACTGATAATTGAAGATTAAAGTGGACTTCCCAACACAGCAGTGAAAAGAAATTAATGGAACAGCTAAAGTACTCTTCCCAAAATGCAGCATGTGTGATTATTTTTATGCAATTCATTTCATACCTTGTCGCTGATATCTGGAGGAAAGGAAGCAGTTCTTCTAGGGGGAACGGATGATTTCATTTGGCAATGTAATAATGTCTGGGGAAATGTGAGAAAATTCAGTGGCAAACTTCGGCAAAGTGTCTGAGTTTAAAAGTATCACTGGTCAAAGGTCACTCTTCTCAATGGCCTGCTTGCATAGAGATTCTCCTGTCATTATAAAGAGTTCACTGACTGGCAATTTAATTCAATTTTCACAATGGGAGTGCAATACATAAAGACACTCTGTAGCTGGCAATTAAAGTCTTCAAACCCTAACACTTAGATATGCAGCTATTTTACAGCAACCAGGATGAGAACACATATATTCACTGTGAACAATATTATGCAATGGTGGCAATACATTGTGGAATACCAGGGAGGTAAGAGTTGCAAACTGGATATGTTCAAGATGTATTTATTTTTGTATACGTGCAGATGAGCAGGAGAATGCAAACATCATGGCATAAGTTAATTTTGAAAAGATGTCAGCTTTCTATAGTTTTCTACAGATTAACATTATTCTGCTTACTTTGCAATTTTTCTTTTTATATCAGTGCTCAAATAAAATACTTAAGTTGTTGTTTCTTAGCATCACAAAATTCTCACCACTGGTAATACATTTTTTTTTAATTAATTGAGGGTTTCAAATGTTAAATGGATTCTGCAAGTTTTTCCCTTCCCCCACTCCAAGCAAACCACTATTGCTTCTAGCCAATCCAATAGCTGAAAGACTTCAACTCTTCCTTACCATTCTAGCAAGTGATTTTCCAGGTGCCAGTCCCTGCAGAGTTCAGATGCAGAAAGCCTGTCATAAGGCACCAGGCAGAAGCACTGTGCCTCACAAGCACATGGTCTACTTGACCTTTTCTCTTTAGGGTTAACACTTTTGTGTTATCTAATCATTTAGAAGTAATAGAGCTCCTTAGACTTTTACAAGACTCAGCCACTTGTAGTGCATTGGAGGAAACAGCATTTCATTATTTATCATAAATTACTCAGAGCCGCTTACAATGCAAGATAAGCATCAGTGTGGTACCACAAAAGGTCATTTAGAAGCTTACCAAACTCTGTGATGAAGGGGAAACACAGAGTTGGATTTGATATTCACTTTGCTAAAACCCTGATCTACAGTTTTGCCTTCCTTTCAAAAATCTCTTCTGATCAAATACAAAAAGACCTGAACAAATTACTTTTTAAAAATGTATCGTTATCTAAGTCAATAAAATAAAATAAAAATATTCCAAGCAAATAACACTTGTATATGTCAACTGGTGTATTATAAATGTCGACATCAGTGAAAATTATCTGATC